TTTTGAGTTTTTTTCCACATTTTTCACCCACTCTATCCAGGATCTCCTATTTTGACCCCTTTCTGAATGGTTGACAGTGGTAGCTGGGCACCATCTACTTCTTCTGGTCTCAAGGTCATGTAGGATGAGGTTCACATGGTCTACTCTGTTGAACTAATTGTTTCCATGTGGCTTTGGTTTTCTTTGTTCTTCTTTGCTCCAATGAGGAGAGACCAATTGTTGCATCTCAGGTAGCCCGTGGGCCCAGTGTGTCTCAGCTTTTGTAGGACTGGCATTCCTTGGTCCCTTTAGTGATCTTTACATGATATTTATCTTCCCTTGTTTGTGTTTGCTTGTCTCTGTGTCTGTGCTGCTCCTTATAATTCAGAATGATTAAATTTAGGACACATCCTACACTGGAATGGCCTCATTAGCATAACAAGGAAAAAGCCCTATTTTAAATGACATTGCATGCACATGCGTAGGAGCTAAGATCATAGTACACATTCTGAGGGAACACAATTCAATTCATAACACTACTGATCCTCTTCCACTCTGGTAACTGATGCTTAGACACCAGAGCCTTCTCAGCCACTTCTCCCTGGACAGGTTTCCCTTGTGGGCAAGGACAAGGAATTCTTTCTGTAGACTTTCACCCACATCACAATTAAAAAATCTGCCCAGCCCCAGATTAATGCTTGAATCCTCTTCCTCTGCTTGTCTGAAGCACAGGAAATCTTTGCTGAATGAATGAATGCGTGTCAGGACTCTTGGTCTGACATTCATGACCCATCTCAATCCTGCTCCATCCCCAGCCATTTCTCCCTCCACACTCTTGGCATCACCTTTCCAGAACTAAAACATCCACCTTCTCCGCTCACCTGTTCCCAGGTCTTTGACCATTCCGTTCCCTTTGTGAAATATCACCCTCAACCACATGTCCCATTTGTTCAGGGCCCAACTCAGATTCTGGTTTCTTCCCCTTCTGAATTCCCAGAGCACTTTCTCTGTGACTCTATTGGGAAACTACACTTTCTATCTGATGTAATCATTCCATTCCTGTTCTTTCTCTCCTGATCACTCCCTAGGGTAAGTTTCTGTTTGTTTCATCTTTGTGTCCCTCTCAGTGTCTAGTGTGGGGCTTTGCATGGAGTGCTTGTGGGATGAATGTGTGGACCTTGGAGAACACCTGTCACCTACTGTGCCAACTCTGGCTCCCAGGTCAAGCAGCTCCAAACAGAGCCTCAAATTACCTTTGGCTCATGGCATGGTTCATGAAGAGGGAACAACCCCAGGCTTCAGGGGGTTTCCTATTTTAATTTCTCACTAATGAGAGACCTGAGGCAAGGCTCTGGTAGCCCCAAACAAAAAAATTCATTGCCCTTAAGTTGATTCCAACTCACAGAGACTGTATATGACAGGGTAGAACTGCCCCATAGGGTTTCCAAGGCTATAAATCTTACAGAAGCAGACTGTGTCATTGTTCTCCCATGGAGCAGCTGATGGGTTCAAACCATTGACCGTTCAGTTAGTAGCCAAATGAATACCTTAACCATGGTGCTACCTGAGCTCCTCCTGGTGGCCCAGGGCCAGTAAATAAACTTTTCAACCAGAAAGGATTTTAAGTCTTTGGGGTCCAACTGGATTATTCCCCAGTTGAAAAGCCAAAAGTCAGAAAGAGGAAGTTACTGGCCCAAGGTCATACAGTGGCAAAGTGAGATCTAGAACCATGGCCTTGGGACATCCAATTTAGAGCTTTCTCACACAGATTCAGTGGAAACACAAGCTGGCCAAGCTTTGAGACCTCAGCCGGGCAGAATCAGATCCAAGGTTTACTCAGCATGCCTTTAATCTAAGGATAAAAGGCTCAGGAGTCAGGCATATGTGTGTGTACATGTAAGGGTGAGGCTAAAGAACCACTGAAACACAGTTTCTTGCAGTAGTTTTATTTTTCCTTGGTAATTTTTTTTTAATGTTTTAAAATAAATGCACATACATGCACACACATATGTATAACCAACCCATTGCTATCAAGTCGATTCTGACTCATATTAACCTTGTAGTACAGAGCAGTACTACCCCAAAGAGTTTCCAAGGCTGTAAATCTTTATGAAGCAGACTGCCTCATTTTTCTCCTGTGGAGCACAGCATACTACAGACTGTAGTCTTCACTCTTCATCAGTAAGTGCTTCAAGGCATCTTTACTTTTGGCAAGCAAGGTTGTGTCATTTGCATATCACAGGTTGCTAATGAGTTGTCCACCAATCCTGATGCCATATTCTTCTTCATGTAGTCCAGGTTCTTGGATTGTTTTCTCAGCATACAGATTGAATGAGTATGGTAAAGGAGACACCTTGATATGTGCTCTTCCTGATTCTAACCAGGAAATATTCCTTTGTTCTGTTCAAATGACAGCCCCTTGGGCTATGTACGGGTTCCTCATGAGCACAAGTAAGTGTCCGGGAATTCCCATTCTTCTCAATGTTATCCATAATTTTTTATGATCCACACAGTCAAATGTCTTTGCATAGTCAGTAAAACACAGATAAACATCTTTCTAGTATTCTTTGCTTTCAGCTAAGATTCATCTGACATTAGCAAGGATATCTCTTATTCCACATCCTCATCTGACTCTTGCTTGCATTTCTAGAAGTTCCCTGTCAATATACTGCTGCAACCATTTTTTAATTATTTTCAGCAAAATTTTATTTGCGTGTGATATTAATGGTACTGTTTGATAATTTCCACATTCTGCTGGATCATCTTTCTTTGGAATGGGCACAAATATGGATCTCTCAGTCAGTTGGCCAGGTAGCTGTCTTCCAAATTTCCTGGCATAAACGAGTAAGCACCTACAGCCCTGCATCTGTTTGTTGAAACATCTCACTGGATATTCTGTCAATTCCTGGAGCATTGTTTTTCACCAATTCCTTCAGTGTAGCTTGGACTTCTTCATTCAATACTATTGGTTCTTGATCATATGCTACCTCTTGAAATAGTTGAAAGTCAACCAATTCTTTTTGGTACAGTGGCTCTGTGAATTCCATTCATCGTCTTTTGATATTTCTTGCATTGTTCAATATGTATGTGTGTGTGTGTATATATATATATATAAAACTCACTGTCCTAGAGTGACCCCTCCTTGGGTTTCTGAGGTGGTACATCTACGGAAGTATATTGGCCAATCTTCCCTCGAAATATGTGTGTGTGTGTGTGTATGTGTATGTGTATGTGTTACGTGCTGTTGAGTTGGACCTGACTCATAGTGACCCCTCCTTAGGTTTCCGAGGTGGTATCACTATGGAAGTAGATTGCCCAACCTTCCTCCCAAGGAGTGGCTGGTGGGTTTGAACTGCCAGCCTTCTGGTTAGCAGTCAAATGCCTTAGGCACTACGCCACCAGAACTCATATGTATGTATATATGTGTGTATATGTACATAGGGAGCTCTGGTAGCATAGTGGCTAAGGCACTTGACTGCTAACCGAAGGCTGGTGGTTCAAACCCACCAGCCACTCCTCGGAAGGAAGATGGGGCAATCTACTTCTGTAGTGATACTGCCTCAGAAACCCAAGGAGGGGTCTCTATGAGTCGGGTCTGACTCGACGGCACATAACATATGTACATATGTATACATATATATGTGTAGGTATATGTGTGTATGTATATATTTATTTATTTATTTATATTGCCTGATTTTCACTTAGATCCTGGGCCATTATCATTTTCTCATATTATAGTATGCTGAAGAAACTGCATTTTAATGACAGCTTAATAGTTCATAATTTATTTAGCCATTTTTTAATTGTTGGTCGTATATAAACAATACTGTACATAACACTCATGAACAAATCTTTGCACACATTTTGGATTATGTCCTTAGGGCAAATTCCTAGAAGTGGAGCACAGGGACGTTTTTAAGGCTCAACACTTGGTGCCAAGTAGCTTTTCAGAAACCATGAGCCAATTACACTCTCACCAGCTGCATTAGAGATGAGCCTTTTGATTCTGCAATTGCAGCAACACCTCCAGCTGGAGGAGGGGCACTCCTCCACCAAAGCCTCTGGGCAGTCTTGACAATGGAACCCTTGTCCTGGCCTCCCATCTCCCCTTCTGCACTGCTCTCCATCCCTGGCTCCACGCTTGCCTCTCTGTGAGGCCTCCTCCTCCGTTTAATCCCAGCTGAGCTTCTCAACACAGCACTCCAGGCTGCCTCAGAGAACAGGGCTGGTGGAGCTGAAGGGTGAGAGATGCACCTCTCCTATAGGGTCACAACCCTTCCAGTGTTGTGAAGGCTCCCAGGGGAAGTTGGGGAGAGTGTATATGAGGGTTGCTAAGTCGTCTGCCTCTTTCCAAGAACAACCCCACCCTTCTCCACCCAAGTCCCAGGCAGTGATCTATACATCTGACAAGTGGAAAGCAGGGGCCAGCTTCAGTCACAATGGAAACTCTAGCAAGCATTTGATGACTTCTGTTTCTCCACAGGCTCTGAGACCTCACCATGAATCCCAAGAAGAAAGTGGACCTGAAACTCATCATCATTGGAGCCCTGGGGTAAACCAAGCTCAGCTCAGGGTTGGGGATTGGAATGCAGCCTCCATCCCAAGGGCCAGGAATCCTCCTGGATGTGTTCTCATCTCCCAAATATCCCTTCCTGATTCAGTGACACCAACAAGGCCATCCCCAAAGAAAGGTGTCTAGTTGTGGGAAAAGGTTGGCATCAGTACGCATGGTTTGCAGTCCTAGCTCTGCAATGAACTAACTATAGGCAAGTTACTTATTAGCATCTACCTGCCTTGCCACCTCCTGCCACCCACATACCCCTCAGGAAAGACCCTACAGAGCACTCAGCTCTCTCCAACCCTCTGCTTACTTTAACTGGCCCCTACTTTGAAAAACTACTCCTAGTTCCTTGTTACTCAAAGTATGGTCCATGCATCACAAATACAGCATTAGAAATGCAGAATCTCAGGGAGAGGTAGCAATGAGAGGAGCGTGGAAAGATTTGTGGATGGTGTGTGTGTATGCACACAAGTGTTCACATGTATCTGTTTGTTTCCTTTCCTCAGTGTGGGAAAGACCTCTCTCCTTCACCAGTATGTGCACAAGACATTTTATGAGGACTACCAGACCACACTGGGAGCCAGCATCCTCTCTAAGATTATCATACTAGATGACACAACTTTGAAACTACAGGTGAGTAGCCCTCCCTTCCCTATTACATACCTCTGAAAATCACCCCATATTCCCTGAACAGCTACTCATATAACAATATATACCAGGAACTAGAATGGTCTAGCTTAGGGGTTGGCAAACTACAACTCATGGACCAAATGCATCCTAATGCCTGTCTTTATAAATAAAGTTTTATTGGAACACAAGCATACCCATTTGCTTATTTATTGCTGTGGCTGCTTTCACACTCTAACAGCAGAGTTGAGTAGTTGCAACAGAGACTGTCTGGCCTAAAAAGTCTAAAATATTTACTATCTAGTCCTTTTCAGAAAAATTTAGACATTCCCTGATCAGAGAGTAGGACAGTAATCCAGGGGTTGAGTGACTTCATTCCTAGTGTTGGATTTTCTGGCAAATTTGGTAAATGGTCTTGGGCAAGTCACTTGCAAGGTCCAAATTTCCAAATCTATCAGATAGGATAAGCAATTCTTGTCCTAATATATGGGAAAAATGAAAGCTAGGTGTTGAAGTATTCCTCTCAGGATGTTAATTGTTACTGCAACAGCATTACAGTGTATACAAGATACCAATGCATGCAAAGGACCACATGCATCTATACCAGGGCTTTCTACCAAGAAAAGGAAGCTTTGATGAAAGGTGACCCAATTGTGCCTTCTTTCAGCCACTTATCATGGCCCCTTTGGGTGGCTGCTCTTCCCCTTCAGATCTGGGACACAGGTGGTCAGGAGCGGTTCCGCTCCATGGTATCTACCTTCTACAAAGGCTCTGATGGCTGCATCCTGACCTTCGATGTCACTGACTTGGAATCCTTTGAAGCTTTGGATACTTGGCGGGGTGATGTTCTGGCCAAAACTGTCCCAATGGAACAGTCCTACCCCATGGTGGTGCTGGGCAACAAGATCGATCTGGCAGACCGACAGGTACCATTCACTCATTCATTTATTCAACAAACATTATGAGCATCTGCTATGTACCAGGCATTGTGTTAGGTCCTACACACATAGAGCTAAATCATAGCCCTTACATCAAGGATCTCATAGCCTAGTGGTAGAGACAGATACTTCAAAAAACAATGATAATACAGTATTATAAATGCAATGATAAAGACATGCCCTGGATATTTGAGAACCACAATGAAGAGCTACTATCCCAGTCCAGACCATAGGAAGGGCTTCCTAGAGGAGAGAGGTTCCAGGATGAAGAAACAGCATGAGCAAAGGCAGGAAACAGCATAATGTGAGCTGAGAACTGAAGACAATTTTGTCTAGAGACAGGGAGTAGAGGAATTAGGCATCAGAGATAGGCATGAGTCAGGTCTCAGTGGAGTTTGAATTATCTTGTAGAACAACATTTCTAGGGTCAGGTAGAGAGAGTCTGTACTTAAAATTCTATGATCTACAAGATTTCTGAGGAAATAATAATCTTTTTTAATTATTATTAACATAAGCATATTCTAGATCATCTGGTTAACACATGATATTTGGTATGCTCCATGATTACAGTAACCCCACTCTGTAGGTTTTTAACATTACAGTGGCATTGAGAACTATTTAACTATTGTCTGCTAATGAGAAAAATATAGAAGTAGATTTAATTTGTACAAGATACTGTCGTGTCAAGGGAAGCCCGAATGACACCGAAAAGAGCTTTCTCAGTGTTTCCAATAGAGAACAGTGGGGAACTAAGTGACCATGTTTGATCTATATTTTCACAATGATGCAAATAGAGAAAAGTGATAAAAAAAAACTGAGACATCATTTGACAGCATGAAGTATATTGGATGGGTGGATAGATGGATGACTATATGGACAGATGGATGGATAGATGGATGACTATATGGATGGATGGATGGATAGATGGAAGGATGGATAGATGGATGGATGGATGGAAGGTGGGTTGATGGGTAGATAAATAGATGGGTGGATGAATGGATGATGGTGCTTCCAACTGAGCTACTGCTTACAGAAAGGAGAATCTCCTGTTCAGAGAGAAAGAAGTGAGTCTGGTTTGGACACATTGAATTTGAGAAACTTGTAGAATAGCTGACTACAGATATCCATCAGGCTTTAGAAGCTATGAGAATAAAACTTCAAAGGAAAAGTCTGTGCCAGGAATAGATTACTAAGGGTCATCAGTTCTATAGTCATTTTAGGTGCAAACTGTGTTTAGTCTATAATTTAAAATATCCAATTTCATATAATCATCAAACTTCCAAGTTCGTTCAAAGGCAAGGCAAGGCATCTCTCTTTTTCCCACTGGGACCTGCTATAGGTGAGAATCTAGTGGTCTAGGAAAGGAAGTATGGTCCTTTAAAATCTCATTGCCAACCTTATGTGTCCAAACCACCACCCCTTATTGAAATAACTGGTTTATGGCTCTGTCAGGGTTGAAACAGGAAAAGGAAAAAGAGGTCAGAAAGCTGGAGAATTTGTATTTTACTAGTACTTTCAGAAGAGAGTTTCATCTTCTCTGGGTCTGGCAGGTGTTTTGAGCTGTTTCTTCTGGGGATCACTCCACTGGGTCCTTAAGAAGCCTCCACTGGGAATATTCCCTCCTGTTGGCCTCTCCCTCCTCAGCCCTTAATTTTTCAACCATCCTGCATCCCACTGGGGTCACTTCCTTCTTCCAGGCAGTCCTCTTGATGAGATTTACAACAGCTCCAGGCCGCCTATCACTTTGTTGAACCCACACCTCATTCTTGAGGCTAACTCATACTTTCTGCTCCACTATAGGGACAAGAGTAGTTCTGGTACAGTTTGTTCTCACTCTCTGCCCTATTTCCTTTTGCCTTGCATCCCTCAGATATATGTCAGACACTAGTCTACTGTGTCCACCAAACCCAAGGATAAACCAAAAACCAAACTCACTGCCATCAAGTTGATTCCAACTCATGGTGACCCCCTTTGGGTTTCTGAGGTGGTAAATCCTTATGGAAGTACATTGCTCAGTCTTCTTTCTGTGGACTGGCTGGTGGGTTTGAACTGCCAACCTTCTGACCAGCAATCAAATCAGAGCTCCTTAAACCCAAGGATACATATGTTAATCTTTCCAAGTGACCTTCTTGAAGCCCTCTTTTGCCTAAGGTGAAGTTTTACCCTCCTCCCCTACGAAGGGGGTACCCACAACACAGCTCTCCCCAAAGAAATCCTCTCTAATCCTCCTTTTCAACCATTTTATATCCTTGTAAGAGTGGTGAGTGATTCAATAATACTAAGGAAAAGGAAGACACAGAAAGGTGCACAAGAGAAACAGACAACAAAGATATTTTACACATACAATACTATATTATCAGTAATAACAAACATTAATCTACAGGTATATAGATAGGTAGATAGGCTTAATGATCAGATGTGTCTGGGCAAAAGGAAATATACCCATGACCATATATAAGTGTGGCAGACAGTATTTCTACACACGTATTTGTGCTGTAAGAATGTCCACATAGACTTCTGTCAAGATGCCAGAATAGGCAGACAAGCTTCACAGATCCTCTGCAACAAAGCAATGAGGAACAAATTGAAACCGATACAGAAGAAAATCCTAGAACCCTGAGCTTTGTAGGAAGCATAAAGAAGTGGATTAAATATCAACTAATAGAAGAACCTGAATGAAAATAGTGAATAAGGAGACAAACAGAGCTGCAGACTACTGGCTGTCCTGAAGGCACAGCCATTTTGAATATTTCCTGGTAGCAATCTAAGAATTGGTGCTGCTCACCAAGGACTACATGGGAAGGACTGCAATGGTGCTTGACAACCAGAAAGGAAAATAGTAAAGAAGGGGACAAACAGACCTGTGGACTTCCAGTGCTGTCCTGAGAGTGCAGCCTTTTGAATATATGCAAGTGGTGTTCTTAGACAGAGACCTAAGAATGGGCTTTGCTTGCCAAGGACAGCATAGGCAACTGTGTTGGATGCTGACAACTAGAGAGGTGCAGTATTTCCCTTGTGACTCCTACACCCCACAAACTCTTGGTGGCCATCCCCCACCTCCACCCACCTTCATGACCAGCAGGAATTCCATCCCAGTCTGTGCCTTGTCAGAGCCTGGGTGCTGTGTCCCAGCCCCCACAGTTTTGTTTTTATTTGTTTGTAAATTACTCTTTTTATCTTCCTCCTTTCTTCCTTTTTTTTTCCCTCCTGTCCCTAGTTCTTTTTTTTTTTTTT